GTGTCACCCCTTGCCTTCCTAGGCATGATTCCATCATCTAAATTCGTTGTTTCAAAACTTTGTTTATCATTCTATAAGTCTTGTAACTTTCCAGTAGACAAAACAAAAGAAAAGCTTATATTAGACTATCTTTACTTTAGCAAGTGACCTTCTTAAGTGTACTTAAGCTTAATATCCTCTCTATGAGTCTAAGAAGCCCAACCCAGAGTCTAGCTTATTAATATAGAGAGGAGGAAGGGTTAGGTCACATAAGTTAATTTAGAGATTTAGAGTTTCTGACGATCAAAGAAAACTTGCAGGGAGAACCTAAAGGAGAAACATTCGAAGGCATGAGATCACACTGTACGCACCGGAGATCATCGTTCGAGGTAAAAAGGGGAGTGAGATTAATTTTTCATGTGGGCATGTATAGTGACTATGGGTAGTAAGGCAATCCCTAGGCCTCTTTAGGTTTTTGTTGCATTGCATTTGGTGGATATATGTTTATTATTGATTGATTGTTATATGTATGACTATAAGCCTAAGTTATTACTATATGTGTTTAAGCATTATCTATATTTTTGTATGTGTTTATACTTGTGTGAGATATATTCTCACACTTCTATGTTATGTTGGTTTTCTTACTTAGGTTGAATGGGCAAATCATATAGATGAGTTGAGCTTGGGAGAGATAGATCTTAGGCTTCTTTTTTATTTTGATGAGACTACTTTGATTAGTATAATACCAAAGTTTAAAGGACTAATTTATTTTCCTTTTGTTCATGTTGCTTATAAGAACCATATTTTATTTTAAAGTTTCTTTTTATCATATTTTTAGTTTTGAATTTTCTTTGAGAAATTGTAAAGTCAAATTAAAAGCATATTTTATTTATTATATAAATATCTGAGTTTTATACATTGAACTAAGCCATGTAAAAATTATTTTACTTTTGTATATGAGTTTTTATTTATAATGTCATATCTTATTATAGTAATAAGAAGGTTAGCGGTAGAAGAATGTGACAAATTTCACAATTTAGTCATCAATTTTATAGATTTTATTATTTAGGTTTCATCTCAATTTTAGTTGATAAAAATAATAAAATGAGACAAAAATAAGATCTAAAATTATTTTTTTATATAAATATTCTTAAATATTAATTATAATATCATCAACTTAATGTAAAGTCATAACTAATATTATAATTTTAACGCTCAATCATATTTTATAATTTTAAATTTTATAAAATTAAAAGATCAAATTACCAAATTAAAAACTGAGAATAAAATTATAAATTAAATATCATTGAAGATTAAAAATGCTATTTCTTTGTTTTTTCATCTTGACCTTTCATAAAACGACTGGAAACTCTTGCATCTTGAAGAGCCTCGACCAAGGGAGAGTGATGAACATTGAACAAAGTCAAATCTGTGCACCCGACCAAACCAATACGAGACGGAGGACCAATTCACAAATTAACATAAATATACACCCATAATGTAAAAAAGTAAAATAAGGTGAACCAGAGGTGCAAAAATATGCGAGGGTTACTTGAGAAAACAAAAACACCAAAACCGTAAAACGGAACACCCAAAACCTCGTTCACTCTTCCAACAATACGCATACAATACAACAAGGAAGATCGTTCGTTCCCTTTTCGTAGTTATCCCGATTTCTTCAATTTCTTAAACAGCTCCAACCTATCGACAAAACGTGACACGGTGAAAAGATCTCAGTTTTGCACCCTCAGCAGTTTCACAGTAAGTTACGCCGTGTTTGTTTTATGCTTTTGTTTTTTTTCCCAGCACAGTCTTTCTTTCTGAAAAACACAAACAAGTACTTGTTCAGATCTTACTTTTGCACCTTCTGCACTTTACCAACCATGTCCATGTGTGTGATAGAGAGTTTTATGCAAGTTTTCTTATTTCTTTGTCAAAATGATTTTTCTCGCACTCTCTTGAGATCTTAGAATTGGGTTTTGGAAAAGAATTGGGTTTGTAAAGAACATGAGATTGTGGTATGTCTTATAATAGAAGCAGAGTGTGAGTGCATCTTAGAAGATGATGGGGTATGAGTGTGGCGGGCTATGGATTTTAAGCTCAAATGGTCAATACTTGAACAAAATGACTATGGGGCTTGTGGAATTTGGTAATTGGTGAAAATACCAGACTAGAAGGTGAAATGTGGAAGATTTTGAAGAATTATGTGTTGGATAGAGCCAATCCAAGCAATTTAATGATTAAGTTGGACTTGGTTATTGTATGAAGTTGAGTTTAGGGTTTTTGGTCATTTCCTTTTCTAGTGGAATTTTATAATAGATAAGCAGAGTGATTGAACAGCTTAGCTCCATTGATGCCTTTTCCTTTGCTTTAGATTTTTCTTTTTCTGTAATGGAAGACCCCTTATCCTCCAATTTTATTGTATTTTCTTAGCTTTTTCTATTGAATCTGTTCTTTTATAAAAATATGTAAAATAAAATATCTCCTCGACATCAATTTTTCTTGTTCCATAGCTATTCTTTTGGGTCTTTTCTCAAAATACAAGACTGTAACTATGGACTTTTGTTCTTGTTACAATCAAGTATAGATTTAAACTCATAATGTATATTGAATTCAGTTTATCAGGTCAAATTTCAGCCTTGGCCTGCATGAACACAGTTGTAACTGTTTTCTCAACTTTATTGAATTAAGTGATTATCTATAAGTGATGTTTTCTGGGATAACCATGTCATATTTTTTCAAGAAAGAGTATTGACACAAGTATACTTTGAAGATTTCTAAGTTCATCCACCTTACTATGACATGTATCATTTCAATGTCAACTCCATGAAGGTGCAAACATAGAGTGATCTGTGCCCTTATCATTTATTCATTTCGAATTGAATAAATCCACATGCATGAAAAGTATAAAATATGTTTCTAATTAAAAATACCTGTTTGATTTCCCATAATTTGGTTGGTATGAATCGACAAAAGTGAGTAATGTGTTTTTTTGGTATATGGTTATAAGACTTTCAAAATATCTTGGTATTTTGCTGGGCATATTGGTCCATAATCAATTATGGCTTTAAATGTTTCATATAATAGTATCCTTTATGTATGAGCATTGGCATGAAAAGAATCATAACATAAGTAGGTTGAAAGAGAAGAAATTTGTCATTCCCTTCCAATTCATAGCTGTCAATCATAACTGATATGGCAAATACAGGGTTTCTAATCTATAGATTCTTAGTTGAAGGAATGTAGACAGGTTTGTGATCTTGTCTAACCTTGATGTGACCCCATAACTGCCCATTATAGTAACACTGGTTCAGCTGGATGTCAGCCCAGGGCTTAGCCGGCAGCATTTATGTTGGAATAATTTGCTCAGTGACTAGTTAATATTTAATAATACAATCAACTCCTTATTTTTCAGATCTGAGGCAGAAGTACCAATAGAATGAAAAGCTCATAAGCTGAAGCATATCAAGAAAAATTTCCCAAAAGTTTTGAAGAAAAAAAAATGAAAAACACAAGCATCAAATTGTAATCATTGTCTGCTTAGATAACATAAACTAATAAAGACAACTTCTATGAAATTGCCAAAAAAAAAAAAATGAACCTTGAATCACAAAAAGAAGAACAAAGAAATGAAAGAAAAATAAGATGCAGTGGAACCAAATTTTCATGGTGCATGGTATCACTCTGATATTATCTTATTAGAATACATGTTTCAGTTCTGAAAGAAGAGAGAATTGGGAAAAAGTAAAACTGAAAATAGGATTGTTAGTGAAAAACGTTAAGTACAAATGGATTACAAAAGGCCTATGTACAGGCAACAAACTATACTAACAAACTCCTAGCTAATCATGTCTCTAATACGATTATGATACAGTAGTTTTAGTCATTTAATCTTGCCATGGTACAATTGTTATCTTGTGCTTGTTTGGTTGTACTTATTTATAGAAATAATCATTTTCCATTTTTATATCTTTTCCATCTTCTTGAGGGAGCTTCTGAAAAACAATGCTATTATTTCCCCCCAAATAATCCCAATTCCCAGCCAAAAACATGGCTATATAATACACTAGTCGTATTATATATGAACATACATGACTCAGTTCATTTTACTGTTTCACCCTTCCTTCCATTTCTCATTTGCTTTGGTCCTTCAGAGCAAGCTGTCTCTCAGGTTCTGTTGCCTGTGGTCTAGCTGAAAGTAAATTTCTCAAAAGTCTGGAGACACCAGTAAACTCAATAAACATGAAATATATCTACTTTGAGGCTCATTCTCTATTTTTCTCTAAACTTGTTGGACACGCTTTGAGGGAATTGATAATGCATTGACTAATTCAAAAGCACTGAACATTTATATATCAAATACCATGGATATTTGAAATTATTTATCTTAATGACACAATGAGCAGACTTTTATGGATTTTGTGATAGTGGATTCGGACAAGGGAAATGAAGCAGAACATAGCTGTCTAGAAGAGAGTACAAGTATATTTGAAGGAGTTGACGTTCAAGAGCCATATGTGGGCTTGGAATTTGATTCTGAAGAAGATGCTAGGAAATTTTATGTTGAATATGCTAGACGGGTAGGATTTGTTGTACGCATAATGCAACGACGACGTTCTGGAATAGATGGGAGGACTCTTGCTCGCCGGCTTGGATGTAACAAACAAGGATTCTCACCAAATAACAAGGGAACATTGGGACCAGAGAAAAAGCCAAGACCTAGTGCGCGAGAAGGTTGCAAGGCAACAATTTTGGTGAAGTTGGAAAAATCAGGAAAATGGGTTGTCTCAAGATTTATAAAGGATCACAACCATCCCCTAATTGCCACAGCTAATGGGTTCAGCACAGCGGTGAGGTTTCTGCTTGTTTAAATAATTCTGCATTATTCGTTGTTCATTAGGTGTAAACTTATTTCATACAATTTGTAAGTGATAATAGTCTCTTTCTCTCTTTTTTTTTTATAAAACATTTTGGGATCTGCTTTGTTGTTGAATCTGTGAATTGTGCATATATGACCCCAGGTTTTAACTGACGATAAAATTAATTGCTGAATATAAGCATTTCAGTTTATTTTGTTAATATCTGTCATAACCTGAGCAGATGTTTTGAAGAATTTCTAAAGTCTATAAATGTTATTATGTTACAAACTACTTAATGATAGTATGAGATAAAGAAGAATAACTTTAGGAGTATTTTTTTCTTGGTGTCTTTTATTCATAAGAATCATAACTAATTCTGATTTTAAATTGCATAATAGGGGTGGAATATATATGAAATTTTCATTAATAGTCAGATTTAGGTAATATTTAGGGTTTAGGGTTCTTTCTAATGTATTTTTTCCTAATCCCATCCAAGATAGGATTAGGAATGAATGTATTAGAGAAAGATCAGGTAGCATCTACTTTAGAAAAAATGGTAGAATGTCGAATAAGTAGTTTGGGCATGTGTGAAGAACACTTGTAAAAACACTATAAAGGAAGGTAGAGCAGATGCTAGATAGAGGCTAGTGCTATCACTAGAGGGAGAGGGAGACTCAAACTATAGGCAAAATCATTAAGATTTAGATTTTAGAGGCTACTGTTTTGCCTACAAACTTGATTTATTTTAGAAAACTATGCATCATTTGATCCATAAATTTATAGCCTACCCCACCTAATGGGAAAAAGCTTGGTTGTTGTAATCAAATATAGGGAATGGTATTATGTTAGTTGCCCGTTCTTCCAAAATCTAACGTAGTTTGTGCCACTTGAAAAGGAAACTATGTTTCAATACCAAATTTTTTAATTAATAATTTTAGATGTCATGCTTGATTCTGAGGCTTTCAATTGAAATCAAGATTGATATGACAGTGAGAGAATAAGAGATTAACCCGTGTTCTATTTTTGGGTAAGAAAAATACACTTGGTGCCCTACCTGAAGCCCTGTGGTGTGACCCCACAAGGAATTTTCACAAAGATCAGTGGTGGAAATTGATAGAATTAGAACCCATTTAGAGAATGAATGCCCTATTGATCAGCTTGCACATCAGCAGAATAGGCCAACTGTTTGGAGAGTCTATGTCAGGAAGAAAGAATAAAAGGAAGCAAGGATGGAATGATGAGGTGGCAGAGAGAAAGTGATGTTATTGTCCCGAGTGGAATATGGTTATAGGAAGGTTTGGAGTGAGAGGGAGGATATGATTCTGAGAATCATTTTCTGTCAAGCAGAGAATTCTCTTTTCTCTGTAGGAGTTGAGCTCTGTGGGCATTAGAGTTATTCTCCCTTCTGCATTTACTATCTTTTTCAGCAATAAAACAGTTTTTTACCTTCATTGATCTTTCCATTGACCTGCTATTATACGATTTTGAGTTTTGATTCCTAATAGAAATCTTACCAATGATATGCTTCCTCCTAACAATTTAAGCTTTTAAGTTGGATTGGATCTTGATATGGTCATAGCCGCCTCCTTGACCAAATGATTAGACATTCAATTTTGGTTGCACTTATTCTTGACTGTTACCAATTGATTCCCCTGGGAAATGAGCAACGAGGTTGTTGTTCTTGAACTATAGTGCTATCTTACCTTTACACCCTTCTATAGTATTTGTCTTTTTTTGCTTCTCCAGATCATACTTGAGTATTGTTTCCCTCTCCTCTCTCTAGAAATTCAGTTAGTTGTGTGTAACATCATTCACCATGAAGTTTTTCATTACTGGAATACTTGGTGGTGGGTAAATTATGCACTTGTGTAACTTATAATTGTCTGGATTGAACATTAATACTACCTATGGATACTATAAAACATACTCATTTGTAACAGAGGTCTGTTATCTATCATATTTGTTGGATTTTTCTGGTACATAATACATATCTTGGAGGACAGGATGCGCAGTTAGTGTTCATATTTGTTCTTGGTGTTACATGTGCAAGTAGTCAGAGATTGTTTGCCTTTCTTGTGAACAAACAATAATAACAAAAGTAAATTACGCTAACACCCCTTGAATTTTGTGGGATTGCAGATAGCCCCTTACTCTTTTAATGTTTACATCAACATCTCTTATAGGAGGGCATGGTGAAATGTTTTTCAAACAATTGTCTAAGGGGTGTCAATGCAATATATTTCAAACAATGAAAGTTAGTGTAGGAGTAGAAAAAGGAGGGGAGTTATATGTAATCTTATGAAGCTTCAGGGTGTATCAATGCAATTTACTCTAACAACAATGAAAGGTAAATAATCAAATAAGGAAGTTCGCGAAACCAATTTGTATCTCTACTCTAAATCCCTTATATCAAATGCCAAGAATTGGATAATTCAATTGGGAAGTAACGGATGTAGTTATGGTGTTATAGGTGGATTTTGATGCTTTATTGCATTACGTTAGATGCGAAGTACATACAGTTATCAAAAATCTCCATGTATATGGGTGGAAATAAAGCTAAGCATGTGAACTCGACTTTTTGGTCTCTCTGGAATTAATGCTTGTAAAGAGAAACTTTTTTGTGACTTCCTTTTTATTTTTTGGTTTCTTTTTTGATATTATCTTCCATGTTCTATTCCAATTTTACTAGATCTTTGCATCAATACCGTTTCAAAAGATATCTTTTCCTCTGCTTGTAGGGTGATAAAGATAAGAAAATTGCAGAACTTACTATGGAGTTAGAGCGCCAAGATCAACTGTGTGCTGCATATCGAGAAAAACTGCTCAGCTTCATAAGCAATGTTGAGGAGGAAACAGTGGAACTGTCCACAAAAATTCAACTCATTATTGAAAATATAAGGACAGCTGAGTCAGAAATGAAAAAATGTTCCCAGAACAGAAAGCCTTGGTGCTTAACCCGAGTGTATAAATGAATGAATATAGTAAATAATACCTATAGTACTCCTTTACACATTGGAATCTGTTCTTTGCACCTCCCTTTTCCTTCTCAAGAGGACAGGGAAAGGTGTGTGGTACCTAAAAGTACCATACAACTGTTGAGTTATGCAGGGATTATGTTGAGAGAATGAAACCGTAAGGCACCAAACTTTTGTAGAAGGAATGGAGTACTAGCTACCTACTTATCACTAAATCCTTAAAAAAAAAAAAGAAAAAAACAAGAAAAGGTTCATGACTTTACAACTTTAGTGTAGTGACTGTATTTGTAAGATAACAATTTCTTTCGTTTTAGGTTTCTTGAATCAAGAGCTTCAGTTTTTGGGTCTTGTGGGACTTGCTACTCAAAATACAATGAACTTCTCTACCTTTACTCCCAAAACTATAAAACTATAAAAGTTGTGTCATTCAATCCGAACACAAATAAGTGATATTCTATAAATTAGTTTTTGAATAAGTTAATTTTAGTTTATAATAAATAAAAAATTCCAAAATTATTATGAGAAGTTTTTCGAAACAGACTCGTATTGCAATATAATACAACGGCAATTCCTTTTATTTTTCCCTTACCATTTTTGTTAAAGTTTCAGGTAGTTAGTTGAGATTTTGCTGACGTGGCAAATAGTTGGTTTATTAGTTGTAATGCCTAACAGAATAATTGAATCTGGATCGAATTATAAATAACACTAGATATAAACCCAAGTGTCCAGTGATATGTGGGAGCTTACACAATTATTTTAGTTTTATGAGAGGATTTATTCAAACTCTAATAAATTGTATTTAACTAAAACATAATAAAATAATTATGAGAATTAATTCACCTATATATTGTATTATAATTATAATAATATATTTCTTACATTTAATAAAATGATATATTATAGATATACAATTTCCATATTATTTATTTTTAACCTAATATAATAATAATAATAATAATTATTATTATTATTATTATTATTTTATTATTATTTTAATTTTAATTTATTATTGTTAGTTATATAATAATAAATTTAGTATAATTATATAAATTTTAGTATTGATATTTTATTATTGTTTATGTAAAATAATGGTGTTACAATCTTATTATATTTTTTTACAACTAATTTTATTTCATTATCACTATTTTTTTAATATAAATGGATTATATTGTTGTTTAGAGAAGAAAAATAAAATAACAACAGATAATAAAACGTCATTTCTAAATAAAAAAATTGGTAATGAAAAAAAAATTAAAATGAGGTAGTTTGTTATTGTCGTCACAATTTTGAATAATATTTTCTTTTCAAAATATATTCATTTAATTTCTCGAAACGATTATGCTCTTATTCATCACACTTTTCATCTCCATTAGCCAGTTATATTAATATATCTATCTATCTATTTCTCTCTATATATATATATTAACAATTTCTTTCAATTAGTTCTAAACTTTTAATGAAGGTTTGGCTGATAAGCTATATTTATATGAAAAACAAAATGAACACGTATATTGTTATTTAGGCTATGATTGACTTTCTTTTTAAAGCTACTTCAATTAAAATTTAATAAAAGTTTAGCGTGTGTATTTGATAAAAGTATTTTATAAGGAAGTTGAAAACTAATAAGTTAATTGAAATTTTATACGTTAGTTGATTGAATTAAGAATATTTTGTGAGCTTAACTGAAAAAAACTAGTTAGTGGGGATTCACGTAATATTTAGGATCTCGTCATCAGTAAAGTTTTGACGAATAATAAAAAACATTCAAAAGATAGTTGATAAATGTAAATGTAAAATGTGAAAAAAGAGGGAGGGGGTGGTAAAATGGATATAATGAAAATTAGGTAGGATAAAAATGAAAAAAGAAAAACACTAGTAGCTAACCTTGTCATAAAAAAGTTTATAGGCTATTAGAATAACTTACCAAATACAATATGATTAAAGTAACGAAAGAAAATAATTTAGAAGCCATTAATAAAAGTTTTTGTGTCAAACAAGTTTTTATATTATTTTTAACTTCTCATTGTATTTGTTTTCATGTATAAACCCTAGTTCATCACTAATCCAACATTTCCTCTTTTTTTTATTTAAAGTTGCATTAGAAAGAATACAATCTAAAAATAAACACAGTTAATTTTGTATGTCATTGAGGCTTGTTTGGTGGTAAAAAAATATGATAGGGTAATTTCATATTCTATTGTACTTAATTATTTGGTGTCTCCAATAGATATCATTTGTTTATTCAATTGCCTATTATATTTGGTTAGTGCAATGTATTTATTATTTAAAAGAGAAGTTGGACAAGAAAGATATGATAATTGGTCTCTTTCCTTCCTTCCCCCTTTGTTCTCACTATCCTCGTCGTCATTGTCATAATTTTTGTCCCTACTCCCATCATAACCCCCTCCACCAACAATGTGACACTAGTTTCATTGGCACTATTGTTAGAGGTGTCAAATAAGGCAGGTTGACTTAATCCAACCTAATATATATGGGTCAAATGTTATTTTAGATTAGGTTGATCTAACCTATATTTTCTTCGGGTTGACATTTTGTTGTTCAATCTAACTCACGTTGGGTCATCAAACCACGGGGTCAAAATGACTTAATTAAAAAAAATTAAATTTATTTTTTTACAATGAAAAAAAAATTATTATAATATAATTAATTGATACTATATAATAGTTACAAATGAGTAGTCAACCATTCACAATCATATAGTCTTAGATAGTTATAGATGTTCATGTATCAGAAGTCAAATATATTCTACCTAGAATAGTAGTTAATACATTCTTTACCTTTTCCTGTTCTGTTAAAAATACTTTATTGTGATCAACTATTGAAGTATTTTTGCAATTGGATTTAAAATTAGTTAAAATTAGGATTTAACATTTTATTCACCATCCAAGCCCTTTCAAATTCATGATAGTTATGTGTAAGATCATACATGATAATACACCTAGCAAGTGCATCTCTATAAGTATTAGGATCAAATTTTCATTGCTTTAGTAAACTAATCTTGTTATCCAACATGACTCCAACATTTTACTACTTAGAAGATCCAATACATTTAATAATATGACATCTTAAATAATTAATACCGAAAATGGGAGCGAATAACCTCTCACAATAGTTAATCCTAACTTTAAGCTTGTAACCATAACTTTGTAAGTAAACACAAAAAAGTGAAAAAGTATTACTATTATCATATTAATTTTATTATATTATTTTGTTATATATTATAGGTTAACAATGATGATGTTTCAAATTATTTTACTTATTATATTAACAAACTAGTTCGTAAACCTATGGGTCATCTTAGCTTGAGCCTATTTGGCCTATCGAGCTTAGAAGGATGGACCTAAATGGCTTAACTCTATTTTGGTCATCCTTTTTAAGTCTAACATGACCTTATTTCTAGGTTGGTTGGGTCGAGCTGAAATTAACAACTCTAATTTTTGTTGTTACTACTTCCACTATTGTCATTATTATAATTATTGTAACCACCAATAGCATTATTGTCATTACCATTACAACTATCAATGTTACCATTGCCATTGTCACCAACACTATCATTATATTATTGCTACCACCACCACCACTTTTCATTATTTGGATCATCTAGAATACAAGACAAGATGACACAATAGTATTTTTTTTGGTGTACATTGAATATTGAATTTGATTAAGAGTCTGTTTGAATACAAATTAGAAATGTTTTTGAGAGATTCTCTATTAAATATAAAGAGTATTTTTCTTTAAAAAAGCTCTCAAAAATAATTTTAAACTTATATTCAAACAAACTCTAAAGCTTATCATGCTCTTATCCTATCATATTTTTATTTTGTTTATAAATATTATCCTTTCCTTACTACTAATTAAGTCCTTGTTTATCAAACAATTATTTATAAATTAGTAAGAAATTTTTAATCTATCAAAATTATGTTTGAAATAAAATTTTGTCCTTATTTATCACACATTTATTTATAAATTAATAAGAAACTTTTAATCTACCAAAATTATGTTTGTAATAAAATTTTGTAAAGCATACGTTTTTTACAAATAAACTACGAGAAGATATTACCAAAATATATATATATAA